ACCAACATCTGGTGAAAATTTCATGTCATTAGCACCTCTAGTAATATATTTACTGAGAAAAATGTTGACATGTTCAATACTTATTTTACCCACTGAGTATGATCATATCACTCCTGTAGCTTCTGTACACTGGTTACCTGTGGGTTTTAGGATTGATTTTAAGATTGCATTGGCAGTTTTTAAATCATTGAATGGACTTGCACCGTCTTATATATCAGAATTACTCACACCATAATATACACCACTTTGACCTCTAAGATCATCTGATCAGTCTCTACTTATAGTACCCAGAGTACAGACAGAGGGTTATAAAGCATTTTCTGTCAGGGCTCCTCTTTTATGGAAAACACTGCCACTTTATATCAGACAAGCTTCTTCATTGTCCTCTTTTAAATCTCTTTTAAAAACATATTATTATGAGATGGCTTCTAATTGRTGACTTTTGCATGTTTTTTTTATTTGTGCTATGTTCTTACGTGTTTTGATTTTACTATATGATGTAAAGCAGTGGTTCCCAAACCTTTTATCTTCTGACCCACAAAATATCCATGGCAAAAAATTGTGACCCCAAACATTACTGGTCTGAGTACACAAACTTTGTTAATAACACTAAAAACAAAGGCTACACAAATATAAATACTTATTTTGTGTTTTTTGCAATAATTATAGGGAAATATTACACCACCAAGTATTTTAATACCCTTTAAATCGATTTCTGAAGTGCAGTGGTTCCCAAACTTTTCAGCTTTTGACCCACAAAATAACAGCAGCAGAGACGTGTGCCCACAACTATTTTTGGATGATAAACATTTGTGTCTGGTCAACTTTTGTTATTTATTATTCTACATTTATACATTTTAGGCAACTAAGGCAAAAATGTAATTAATTTAGAAAATATTTTCAGGACCCCACCTTGATGTTTCAGGACCCCACTTTGGGTCCCGACCCCAACTTTGGGAACCACTGATGTAAAGCACTTTGTAACTGGGTTTTGAAAGGTGCTATACAAATAAATGTATTAATTATTATTATTATTATTATAAACCTAGTAGAGCGCAATAGAGCTGCAAATTAAGTAAAGACATTGAAGAGGTCCTCACTTTGATAGTACTACATAAAAGGTCCTTGATGTCCTTTTCAGGGGTGCCACCGAGCCATTGGTTCAGATATGTTGACGACACCTGGGTTAAAATTAAAGCCCAGGAAGTCCAACAT